CGTAGATCATGATGTTCTGTTAGAATCGCTGAAAACTGTTTTTCAAAATTCGCAGCGGGTAGTGTACAGCATCGATTTCTGTGGAACCCAGTAGCTGTCAAAACTTTCACATTTTTACGAATAACTCGGAAATCGTAAATTTTTCAGGTAAAACGGTTGAAACAAACATAAATTAAAATTGAACGGCCAATCTGAAAATAACAAAAAAAAGGGGGGGTTTCATTTAGAAAACCAGAGTTGGTAACTACCACACGTTTATGATGCACCTTGTATATTGGAAAGTAATTTTAGAATGTGGACCTTTTAAACGTGAAAAACTTTTGTTGGACGAATTTTCTTGTAAACTTCATATTTACTGAGATATCGCACTTTGACGCACTAATGAGCAACCCTGTATAATAAATACCAAAAAATGCATTCTTAAAAATGAATATTATGAGAATTGAAAATGTTATTGCGTGTGATATTTATATAATTCAAAGGCAATTATTGCTTCAACTGTTTTCTGCTTCCTCGCTGTTTGTCGTGCAGGGCGCCACTCTCCTGGGGAAACCCACGAATTTCGAGAGGACGGGGAATTTCCGACTGAAGATTTTTCCCCTCGCGTCATTTTTAGGGGATTGAGATTTTTTCACGCTGATTAGTGAAAAGTAAGAATCCCCTTTCCGAGAGTATAAAGGAGCGTGGATATCGGGAACAAAGGGAGCCAAGTCTAGAATATTTTTGCGACACCATCTGTGACGGGAGAAGCGCATCTGAGAAAAACCCCGGCTGATTACAGACTTTTGATACGTTCTGGATTAAAACTTTACCTTTATGTTCAGACGACAGATGGCAAACCAGACTAATAACTACTGTCAAAGTCCCTGATTTTGTTATCAAAGGGAATATACGGGAACAAGAACATCTCCAACCCAGAAGCATTCGAACTCCTTGTACAAAAAGTAAAAAGGCCCGGACGTAAGAAGTCCCCCTCACCAAATCTTTCAAGCTCCCAGGAAAAACGGGATTTGTAGAAAAGATTGAAAAAAGAGCTGGGCCTATCTATGTTTTGACAAGAACTCTAAGCCATGACTGAGCCAACCGACACTTAGTTAAGGGCTTTTCTGTATATGGTCACACTCGGCCACCCCACTGGTGGGTAAAACACCATGCCAGGAGACGCACCAGTGTTGGGTTATAGTTCTTTTGTTGACTTGGGCCACCCAGCTAAAGACATCGATGAGCAATTTAAAGATAATTTAAGGATAGCGGTCCCAGCTCCGCCGCTTTCGGTACTTAATAGGTGATGAGCTTCATATAAAACTTTGTATGTGTCCATCTAACCACGTCCTCTGTCTTGCTTTCTTTACTAATTTCGACACTCCTTCTTTGATCCCATAGTGTGTTTCCTGTGGTGATTCTTAGTATTCTCTTTTCATTGGTTCGTGCCATCCTTTTTGTCTCCGCTGTGTCAGCTCGTGTTTCTCTCGTGTATGTCATTACGGGCCTGATACACGCTTTATATATTCTAACCTTGGCCGGGATTAATATGCATGTATCTTTCAATATGGTTGTTCGAACGGCTGCGGCTATCCTGGCTGTCTTGTTTACCTGGTTCTGTAGCCCATTCTTGAGTTCAGCATATGGTCATATTGTTATTCCCAGATAGTTGAATTCAAAATCCTGATTTATTGTTTTGTTGTTCAGTTCCAGTTTGCATCTGTGTCGTTCCCAGGCGCTCACCAAGCTTTTTGTTATGCTGGTAGATATTTCCTTGTTAACTTTTTTGGCCTCTTTCTTAAATGCCTGTAAGAGCCATTGTAGTCCGCCTTCCGTGCCCGCAAATAGCGTTGCGTCGTCTGCGTAAAATATTATCTTAAGTTGTTGGTTTCCGATCTTGAATCCCTGGTCTACTACCTTGCGTACTTGCTCTATTATTCTGTCCATTATGATGTTGAACAGCAGTGGACGGAGACTGGCTTCTTGTCGTATCCCTGTGCTTTGCTCTATTTTTTTCTGTTAATTTGGTTTGTATTGTTATGGTGTTGTTTGTGTTGAGCTTCTATCCTTCTCCGCGATGCTTGGGGATATTCCCACGGGGTCAAGCTTGTTTCTAACGTCCACCAGCCTTATCCCGTCGAACGCTTTCATCAAATCTATGAAGCACATGAGCTGTGTTATACTCTATTGCCTTCTCTACAACGAACACTGGGTCAATCGTCGAACGGTTTTCCGAAAACCTTGTTGGTCTGCGCTTAATGTGGGGTAACTGAGAATGCGTTGCTACAGCATACGGGTGAAAAATTTCATGGTCGTGTCTAGTAGCGATATTCCTCGGTAGTTGGCCGGATCTGAGGTTTTCCCCTTTTTGAGTATTGGGATTGTGATGCTGTCTCCATCTCGCTGGTGTATCTTCGTCCTTCAATATTTTGTTGAATAGTTCGGCCAGCTGTCCAGCCAGAGCTTCTGCTCCGCACTTCAGCAGTTCGTTGGGGACGTTGTCCGGGCCTGGAGATGTGCCAGCGACAGCTCGTTTTTGTAGAGTGGGAGCGCGCAGCTGTCCCGCGGCTGAAATCTCCTCAAGCATCTTATATTTCAAAGCAAAAAATGTACCTTTTCCCGCTAAAACGGGCGTTTTTTTCGTTTTTTAAGTAAAGAAATGGACTGATTTAAATTTAGTTTGTTTCATATAGTAGGTATTTTTAATACTTGAAATTTAATACGCTCAAACTATTGTCCTAATATTCTGACATCGCTCCGAACAACTTGTAATACTATTTCATCTTCACCTATTTAGCTCCGAAAAAGACCTTTTAAAGTCTAATCTGACTGGACGATAATAACTGAACTAAAAAGTATTGATCTGTAGCTTCAGCTCACCGGCCATAAACACTAAAAAAATTGTTGGTCGGTCAAACCCAACTTGTCCCTGCTAAAACTTGCACATTCCTTAAATGTAAAACGAATTTCCTAGATATTCGTATTCATACGACTTAATTTTTCCAGATATCAATGGCCGTTTGCTCTATTTTGTACCAATTAGCTACGCGTCCGGAACAACAAGAAAAATTATATCAAGAACTGAAAAGGGTACTTCCCGACAAACAAGCACCTTTAACGTCCGAAAAGTTAAACCAAATGGTTTTCCTTAAGGCATTTGTCAAAGAAGTGTTTAGGTAAGTTCATCTGAATTAAAATAATTATATTTCTAATCCCCCATTTCATACATTATAGTCATTGGAAGATTACGTTTAGCTCCGAAATTTATCCCGATTTTCAAGGAGTTAATTGGGATTTGATAGCTGCAGCTAATTTGCCGCTTTCGAAACTTTACCATATCTATTTCCGAGAGTAGATTATATTTCACTATGCATACCAAAAAAGTTCAGGCTAGCGTTTCTTGCTGATCCCAAATTTTATTTAGTTAATTTTCCAATCGGGTGAACCAATGATTTAAATTTCATATTTATGTGATCATAATCGAACACTAAAATACACTAAATACATTTATTTTAACATTAGGATGTACTCCACAGTTATTGGCAACGGTAGAACTCTTCAGGAAGACATGGTTTTACTAGGATACAAAGTTCCAAAGGGCGTGCGTATTGCTAATTAAGTTGAAATGCTATTCCGCATAGACATGAATATTTTTAGGTCCAAGTAGTCTTTCCCACGTTAGTGACAGGAAGCATATCCGAGTATGTTTCAGAGCCAGAGAGCTTTATGCCCGAAAGGTGGATGAAATTTGAAAGCTCTAGTAAAATACATCCTTTCGCGTCTTTGCCTTACGGATACGGAGCCAGAATGTGTCTTGGCAGACGATTTGCTGACTTGGAAATACAAGTTTTATTAGCCAAAGTAAGCGATTAAAATTTGATAAACAGCCCAAACTGTTCTCTGTTTTTAGTTGATCAGAACATACAGATTAGATTATTTCCACGAGCCTCTTGAATATAAAGTAACATTCATGTACGCTCCTGATGGTGCATTGAAATTTAAAATAACCGAAAGATCAGATGATTGAGATATGATGTAAGTATACCAACTTGAATTCAAATTCAATGTCTTAAAATATAATTTATATTACTCTTGTCTGTATTCTTATTTACAACTCCTTTCTAGTGTAATAGTACGTACTTTAAATGTTAGTTGATAAATTTATCAATGATAATATCAGTACCCTCTACAGTGCTAAATTTTATGTGTCCATTTACGTTAAATCTATCGTTTAAGTTTTAACTGACGCGATATTCAATACACGCTAATAAATTACAAGTTGAATAATAAATAATCGGCAACGAAAACTTTCTGTTTGGCACTGTAATCGGGTCAAAAAATACAACATAGCTTTCCTTAATGGGAATAGTTTTACTTGAGCATATCGATAGTTAAACAGTACAGTCATGTATTACAGCAAAGTAATCTGGCTTAAAACCCCGGTTTTGTTAGTTGACTATTAAAATTTCAATGGGGCAAAATGATATTTAATATATAGAACATAATTTATTTGCTTATGTTATGCTTGATGGTACTTTATATACTATCTGTAAATCCTAATAGTATTATTGATTAACTGTTATCTGTACATTTGTACAGAATTGTTTTACACTAGTTAAAAAATAATTAAGTTACAATTTATATTAGATTTGATCAAATTATAGTCAACTGGTAGGTTTTTTTGAAAGACCAGACTTTAAACATTGTACCCCTGTACATGATTAACTTCATACACAAAACGAAGGCTTTCAACCATGTAAATAATAAATTTTTCGTAAAACTCAACAAAACAGTAGGTCACATTTTTCGGTTGTCCTCCTCATGGGTCGCCGTTACCTATTAGTAAAAATGCACAATGTGCAAACCATTATTGTGTATCATATTGCCTAGATAAATAATTATTATCAATACTTCATTATTATAATACAACGTTAACTGATTTTAAGAAAAAAAAACAATAAATCTCCAAAATAACCGTTAACTATAGTAAATCTAATAAAAATGCGATAACAGTAAATTACATTTTCCTACATACGTAAATTAATCAAATTGCATTTCAACGTTTTGAAAGAGTTTTTAAAATGAAATAACTGCGTTAACAAAATGCTAATCACGTTCACACAACCAAATCATTATAATAGTATAAATTATGTACCATATAAAAAGTGTAACAAAACAAAACTTCATGTTTAACGAATACTTCTTAAGGGGACACCAAATCTACGTAGTTTGCCGGGTATAAACCCACTCGACCATCTTTTCGACCTTTACACCACCCTTGTTCGTCTTCGTCCTCCAACTTTTCAAACACGTCTCCTTAAGAAACAAAACACGAATTGTAATTATTACAACTAAATTATATTGTGATCTTAATACTATGAATGCTCTGTGTATTTTTAGTATTGTTTGCGATGTTTTGTTGAATGGATGAATGTGTTTTAAGAGCAGTTCATAAATACTCAAGGCATTTTGAAAGTAAACAGTTACCTGTTTTAAAAGTAAGTTCATCGTTTTCTGCTCCTTCATAATCGTACAATGCTTTAACAGGAACACCCGGTTCTCCATTATCTACCAAAGCGTCACTCTCCCAGTCTTCTTCTTCGAATGGATTCGAATCATTTGCTTTAGACGCGGAACCATTCCTAGATTTAAGTTGAATTCAAATATGAAATTTTTGTTATGGATTAACCCTTTCGCTGCGCAATGCTGGAATAAATCCGCATTTTAAATAAGCATTTTTTTACCATTTTTGAACGAGTATACTCGTCCGACTCGTCCGGAGCAGCTAGAGCTTAATATAATGAGTACCATTCATTTAATTATTTTATTTTTGGCAAAAGCATTAGGTAAGGGTGATATTAAGAAGCTATTTTTACGAGGGCGGTCCGATAACTACTTTGATAAATTTTCGAAAAGTGGACTTATTTCTCAACATAGTCTCCTTTTAATTCGATAGACTGACCCTGCCATGCTCCAACTTCTTTAACCCGTCTGAAAAATACTTTTTCTCGAGGTTTGCAAAGCAGGCCTCCGTGGTGGCGATGACCTCCTCATTCGACTGAAATTTCCGCCCGGCGAGTGACTTTTTCAAGTTTGGAAACAAAAAGAAGTCACACGGGGCCACATCTGGAGAATACGGTAGATAAGGCAACAGTTCGTAGCCCAATTCGACCAATTTGGCCCTTGCGACAGCGGAGGTGTGAGCCGGTGCGTGGTCATGGTAAAGAAGAACTTTTTCTTCGACAAATGGAGTGTTTTTTAAGCAATTTGACGTCGAATCGGCCCAATAATTCGGTTAGTAGAGCCCTGTGCTCGTTTTCATCCTTCTCCAGGTAGTCGATGTAGATAACACCTTGTGAATCCCAGAAAACGGTGGCCATCACCTTTCCGGTCGATAGTAGTTTTCGCGTTCTTTGGAGCACGTGCGCCGGGTAAAGTCCACTGTCTCGACTGTTCCTTGGTTTCTGGTGTGTACCACTGGATCCATGTAAGTAAGCCAACGCGGCACCCATCGGGTTTACAGCTTTTTCCTGCAGGATATGACCCACGCGGTTTTTTGAGATGCCTGCTGTCTCAGCTTTTTCACCCACCTTCAATCGGCGGTATGCCAATACGAGATCATGAATTTTTGCTATTTTATCCTCCGTGGTAGCCCCTTTTGGGGCACCTGATCGTGGCTCATCAAAAACCGACGTGGGACCACGTTGAAACTCGTTAAACCAATTTTAGAGTCACCGTACACCGCATCCAAGCGCTCTTTAATTTCGCTTCGTGATTTTCCTTCTAGAAACAAGAATCAAAACACGGACCGATATTGCTCTTTTCGCATTTTCTGAAATCCACAGATACGCCCGCTTTTACGCGTGGTCCAAACAAAACTACGATTTCCAGTCGCCTCAAATTTTGGCAGTAGCCGTCTACGAGAATGTACTACACGATAGTAATTTTTTCTTGTGATAGTGGGGCCCTCGGGCGGAGAGGCTAAATACTTATCGGACGGTCCTAGTAAATAAAAGCGGTAAGTATATTTTCAAGGTTTTTTACACAAAGGTATGTTATTACACAAACCACACATAACATATATCTTGTTCCCTTTCTTAAACTGTGGTTTGTGCAACACAGCACATCTTGTAGCATTTATTTTAGCAGCTGTAGCTGGTACATTAATTGGGAAATGTGTTTCTGTGGGGTGCAATTCCAAATTTTGATTAAAACTCTTCTATCTGGACTTCGAGTAGAAACCGGAGTATAATATTTTGCAATAAGTTGCTTTATGAGATCCAAACGAAATTTCGCCAATTCCACATATTGATCAGATCGGCATTTATGACTGGTAAGAGTTTAGAACAGTACAATCCAGTAAGTGAAAGAATATTTTTTGGTAGCATTTCAAATATTACAGCAACGTGTCTAATTTGTCCACAGACGCATGTTGTTGTAGTCGACAATACAGTATGCTTTCAAATCCTTCTTCCTGAGTTACGATCTCCTTTTTCCAGTGTCTTTCACATCAGATGTATGGCATGAACTTAGCATATTAACTTCCCTTGTCTTGCCATTTGACAGCAAGTTTATTTTTTGAAGAGCAATAAGTCAATTTTCCATTTTTTTCGTTTCCTTCTGAATGTTCCGCAAGCACTAATATTGTTGAAGTGCAAAAAATCAAACAGTGTTGAACTTGTAAACCAGTTTATGTGTTCGGACAATATTTTCCGTGTTTTCTGTATTCTTCTTCTTCTTCGTGTATCATGTCCTCCCAGAACTTTGGTCACCAACACAGACATCTGAATCCTGCTCACCACCATCCTGAAGAATGTTCTTGAGGTTACGCCACGCCAGTCGCGTAAAGCCTTCAGCCATGATATTTTGCGTCTACCTGGACCACGCTTGCCAGCAATTTTACCCTGCATTATGTTTTGCAGTAATCAGTATTTCGCGCCCCTCATTACATGAACGAAGTATTACAATTTTCTCCGCTTCATGGTGCATAGGAGTTCAGTGTTTTTATTTAGATGTTTAAGTATATCTAAGTGGACTTTATCCATACCATGATACTTTTAGGATTCTCCTATAGCACTATATCTCAAAAGGCTTTAGTCTCCCCATCTCATTGCTATTCATAGTCCAGGCCTCCGCTCCGTAAAGCAAAATTGAAAATGCATAAAAGCGAAACAAACGGAGCCTCAAAGGCGGTCTAAGATCTCTAGTGCAAAGAACTTCTCATTTTGTTGAACGCTGCTCGAGCGTACTCTATTCTTGACCGGATTTCCGTGTGATTGTCTCCATCGTTACTTATCAGACATTCGAGATACTTGATCTGTGTAACCTACTATAGTCTCACACCTCCGGCGGTCACAGTAGCCGTTGTATCATGCTGTTTGGCTTTTACTACCAGAACCTTGGTTTTCTTGATATTAAGATCGTCGCGCTACTGCACACTCAGCAGTGACCCTATCGAGCAAACACTTTAAATCCTCTTCATTGGAACCCAGAAATATCGTGTCCCATATTGGGAATTTCAAAGTATTTTATTTGTTGTCGCATCAGTGTAAATTTTAAAATTCAAAATATTATCACAGAGCAAAAATAATTTTACTCCCAACCGATCTCTTTGAGGGGATATACTGTCTGAAGAAAACTCTTCCTCTAAATAGCATCAAACTTTTATTGATACATACGTTTTTAACAGGACCAAATGTTTCACTGAATTTTTTTCTTAAATGATCGACAATTACTTTTATCTTGTGCAGTGAATCTGTTTTCCCATTAGCCATCTGCTTTGGATCAACGTAGTTTTCACAAAAATGTAACAAGGATTTCTCCTTCTGTCCCTCTTCATAAAGCGACTGAAAATTGGGGTTGTCAAAAACTCGCCTGTTGACCAGTAAGCATTTGATTTGATTTTCTTCGAGTGAGACATCAACAAAATAACCGTAAAATAGAAATACATTTCTTTATAATCCATAAGCTTCCATCTTCTAACTAAAACTAAAAACTACTAAAACTTCATAATATGTATTTGTTTAATTTGCAATATATTCCATTAATTCTTGCTTAAAAAAATAGTCAACATATTGCAAGGGATAATTTTCTGTATCAACTAAAATGTTGCTACCACTATTCTTATCATCAAAATATGGGCGGGAGAGACACAGAGTCATATACGGGTATGTAACCGTCCATAGAGCAGCTTGAACCGATTTTTAATCGCAATGCGCACATATACCTACGTCAAGAGCAGCTAACAGAAGCCGAGCATAAACGTCAAGAGCAGCGAAAGGGTTAAATATATGCACTTTTATTTGGTCAAATTATCTAAAAACTCACGTTATTGTAGCGCCTCTGCTAGGTGGGCTTTCAACGGATTTCGAAGGTGATTTCGCTTCCTGAACTTGGGTAACTGGCGTTGCGACGACTGTACTAGTCGGTCTGGCTGCTGCTGCTGCTTTAGTTTTTGTTGATTTGTTGGTGTTTGTGGAATAATCCTGCGAAACAGACGATCCATCGATCTAGTTAGAATAATTTGATATATTTTTTAATTTCCGCATTTAGTGTCCAGTTGTTAACATATGAAGAATTTACTTATCCAATCAATTTAGTCTTAAAACTAAAATACAGGTACAGATTGTTTTAAACAAATCTGCATTAAGAAATATATCCTGATTTGCTGGTTTATTGGCCGCGTTTATCTAAAATAATTTGGCTTGCAATTACTTGCAGAGGTACCACAGTCTAAAGCGTTTTAGTATCAAAAATTGTTTCAAAATTAAGTCCAAAGCATATTTCAAAAGCAAATTGCAATAAATAATAAAAATAAATGAATAAAAATGTAAGCATACATGCAAGTCTTCGCCGACAGGTCTCTGATTGATGAGAGTGATTCCGGTCGTGCCCGAGTCTTTAGATTTGCCTTTATGGATGTCTCGGAACTCTTCCGTATAGTCCTACAGACACATGCAAAATGGGAAAAAACCAAAATAAAACAACAAAATGTAAAAAATAATAATAACATGCAGAGATGTTAGGTTAGTAAATTGCAAACAAATCCAGGGCTAACTTAAAACTAATATTTGCTTCAGTCGAGTTAACAGAATATTAAATGTCCTGCATAAAATTCATACCTCTATATTAACAATTTTGTTTTATAAAAACGTTGAAACGCGTAAGTTTATTCAAATTACTGTCCAACTTTTGGGGATTTTGTAGGAAAGAAAATCCACATTCGTCAAATGTCTAGCTCTTAATTACGACACTAGTCAGAGTTCCGTACAGATATTCGTAAAAATGAGGGTTATCGCCTCTAAATTATTAATCATGATATTACGATAGAAAATTAGAAATATTTGAAAACATTGTGGGTGTGAGAATATGACTGCGTTTTTTTATGGGACCGCTTCATACAAAATTTCCTTTTCGTTCCGCTGAGGTAATATCCCCAAAAAATCAATATATTGGCTTAGGCTTATACAATTAATAACAGAATTTTGTGACCATATTTATTTAGCATTTACTACATTAAATCGAATTCGGAAAGTGTTAATTATCTATTTAGAATAACTTTTCAATGCCTAGATCCAGATTGATTTTATACCATCGAATACGGTTTTTAACACTTTTTCATAGATGTTTCATTCGAACTAGGTTGCTGGGGATGAAGGATTGCATACGGATGTAATAAGAGATTAATTTTATACCCAGAAGTTGAATAGCAATTTCAATTAAGACACGTGTATCAGTTTTTAAAAAGAATCGAATACTAGAAATATTAAAAAAAAAATGTTACTTTGAAATTCGAAAAATACTATAAAGCAATGTTCAGAACTTTGACGAAACCCTTTACTGAAATAATAATGGAACTTAATAGGCCCTTTGTTAAGATGACTTGAAACAATCCGAATACTTCAAAAACATAAAATTTCCCAAAAAAATATTATTATTATTATCCTTTCAGAGTCCATAGACTGTAAAAAATATTTTTCAAAGTTCCTGTTAGTTACACAATCGTTGTTCTATATTTGCACGTATTACCTCAAAATTATTACGCCTGATTTTGCTTCAATTTCACTATAAAAACTTCTTCTTACCTCGAATTGTGGCCAATTCATAGCCATATTTACTCCATGATTATTCGACCACCACTTCAAATCTTTTTCAAAGTCCGCGTTGTTGACCGTGTGATAAAGTTCTTCATAAATTTGATTGAGCCTAAATATAAAATAATGTAAATATTAATAATTTTTGTTATTGTCAGTATACTTACATGGGGTCCTGTGAAATATTGAGGTATTTATGCATATCAAAAAGCGTTTCCTTTATAAATCTAAGCCGCTGGGCTTCCATTTCTTGGCACTTATCAAACACGACTGTCATATCCTCCATGTACTTGGGGTTGTATTGGTTGATCTCTTGCAAAGCCACTTCGTACTTTTCTTTGCACTTCAAGACTTCTTCTTTAGATTTTTGTACTCTGTCCTGCATTTTCTTCACCTGCAAATTCAAGATGCCAAATTAAATCGGAGCTAAATGAAAAATGCATATCGATAGCTATAATTTTCAAGCATTCGGTTCGATTCAAATCAATACAAACACTCCTACTACTCCTAACTACAAAACAAAAACCTCTAGGCGTTTGAAACCACTACAAACTGTACTCACCAGTTGTGACTTCTGCGAAACAGATTAAAAATAATTATTATGAACATTATCAAAGCACATATATTTTTAAAACAGGTAATATTATCGCCGAAATTCATGGGGTTGCATTTGGCATTTCATAAATAACAAGAAATTTAAATTCGCAATTTAAATGTGTCCACAATTGGCGAGTGTTAAAGTGTTAAAATTAATCCGACATTTCTAAACATTATCAAGTAGAAACAGGTCTAAAAATTATTTGATTTATTTGTCAGTTTAGTTCAATAATCCAATAATTTGCCTGATTCGAGAGACGTTCTCTTACTAAGTGAGTGCATGCTTAGACCAATTTATTAATTATGTAAATAAGTATATTAATCAGGAAACGGTAGTTTAGGGTTGTTGCGATGAATAACTGTCAAGTGCATAATATAATCACTCTCTCAATTTCTTTGCTTCTTCTGTGAATGCATTATAATTTTATTAAGATTTCATAGCAATCAGTAAAATCGAATGCATTTCAATCTAGAGACAACTATCCTATGGAGCACCTTCTACTCTAGCATAAACCCACCTCCATAAACTCTTCTAGTATACTATTACTGGAAAGTTAATGTTAAAATCTTTGATGTATTGAATTCTCGAGATTAAAAGCTCACCGAATCTTCCGAACAAGAAATTTCCGTATTAGCTACTATGATAAAATTATAGACAAAATTCCAATTACAGGGCAATTATTTAAGCGACATACGACGCCTTAATGGTTCATACTTAAGTAAAGAAAGAAGTATGTGACCTTTATTAATATTTCAATTCAAACGTGATTTTTTGATCCTGTTAGTATGAAATGTGTGTTATTACTAGGAATTGGAACAAATGAGACGACGTCAGCTATTCCAGCTGCATACGCTTTGCAGATTTATTTATACAGCATCAGGACCTAGGAATCGCCAAATCTAAATACTGCAAGCTTAACAGCATTTGATATTGGACCAAGTAGTAGTGATAGATATTGCACCAAAGCTGTCATTAATTTTCTAGCGCTTAAATATAAAACACGTTAATTAGTGCACATAATTTAAAAAGTTTACTGTATAGATAAGGCTAATGATTAAAAAACACGTTTATAGTATAAAAATGCATCTAAGTGGTTGCCTTGAAAATTTGAATGCCTTGTTGGAAAGTTGAACAATGCTATGGTGTTTCGGTCTGCAGAATATAGAAAACTAAACTGTTTAGTGTAAAACATTTACTGTTTTTATTACTAGAACCTTTAATGATGACTATTTGGTGCTAGTTAAAAAATATATTTTGCTAAATTATATTACAGTGGATTGGTTTGAGCAAATTATCGTTTTTATGAAACACTGTTTTAAAGTATGTACGATCTTATATTTGTCCACATCTTACTTACTTCTATGTTGATATATAACCTTTTAAGAAGAATGTAATCGATTTTCTTTAATTATAAATGATTTGTGTTATCTATTATCGAAAGTTTAAAATGAAAGTTGTGCTTCCTTTGCTGGATTTTTAGTGTTAGCGGTTTTGTGTTAGCTTGTCAGGACTGGTCTTGCAGCCTTGGTCTTAATATAATTGGGAAACTGATTAATAAACCACTAACTTAAGAATATAAATACTTCAATTTGTAAAAATGAAATTAGACAGTAAATTTTAATCAGTATTAGGTGATACAATTTTTTCGCTCAAAAATGAGGACCTGACTTTTTATTTTAAAAAAATGTCCAGCGCCTATGCTATTGATAGTCAAAGTTCTTTAAAAAAATTATATTTTTGCAATATTGGAAGAATTATTTTTTTTATGCACCAACCAACTTCCTCCGCTTTGGACAAGTAATGTATTCTTGAGTGTTGTGGTACAAAAACTACCAGAACTTTTTATTTGACCAATGGAATCGACTCATTTTTTTGAGCTGATGTACTATTCCTTTGTCTACATTATTGTGCTCTGCAAAATCTTGTAGCATTGTTAATTTTTTTCATTTTGAAAATTATTTTTATATTCTTACCACTTACACACATTACACAATGTTAGACATTAACTGAAAATATCATGGTAAGCGAGGCATAAATTAATTGTCAAACTTTTGACGTTTGACTTTTGACAATCAATCTCATAAAGTCGTTTCGAATGGCGTTTTCTAATGAAGAAATTACCCACATGGTCAAAGTATTACGGTTTTGCAAAAACAACTTGTGTGAAAGCGTACGCGTTTACTCAGCGCGATATCCAAATCGACACGTTCCGGATTATCGGACATTTTCTAAGAATGCCGAAAATTTTCTGGCGCGCCACGCTCCTCTTCCGGCAACAATCGGTCCCATTCCCGACGCAGCGACCGGCTTCAACGACAAAGTTTTGTGGCGTGTAGCTCAGGACCTGGACTCCAAAATACATAGACCACACACTGTAGTCCATTGGATTAAGATCTGGCCAGTAGGGCGGCCATTCCGCCGACGTCCTGAGTCGCTTTCGCCTTGTAGAACTTCCTGCGAACTTCCAATCCGCATTGCCAAAGTGCTACTGGACCCACGAAAGTACGACGGCTTCGAGGATGTAGTTGTAGAAGATGTAGAAGTCCTTGTCGATTTTCACCCTCTGTTCTACGAACACGAGGGGGTGTTGCCCCTGAAGCAATTTCCAGCGCAAAACATAATGGTCGCGGGATTTTGGCTATGTTGGACGATGGCCGATGTGCCGGGAGGCCTTCGCCGACCAGCTCCTATTGTTCTGGTGATTGTGGGCTTTTTCCACAGTGAACATCTTCTCATCCATGAAGAGGATTTTATTCAACTGAAGGGCCCCCGAGCGTGGCGACGAAGGAGTCGTTTGCACCTTTCAAACCGTATGCAATTGTTGAACTGAACTGAACTGAGCTGAACTTTTTGCAGCTTAAAGGGCTTGAGATGGAGATGCTCGCCGGCTATTTGGCGGATTGATTCTCGATTTATAACAGTCTCACGCGCGATTTTTCTCATGGAGACTCTCGGATTTCCCCTGACACGTTTACGGATGAGCTCCCAGTTATTGGCGGTTCTGACGGTGCGCTTTCTGCCACTTCCTGGACCGCGACCAGTATGGCCGAGCTCTTCACACCTCTTGATTGTTCGTCGGACGTTAGATTTGTCTATGCCGAGCGTTCGCGCAATATTGATCAAACGCTTTTTCAACTCATGTAATGCCAACAATTTTTCTTTTTGGTTTGACATCTTAATAAAGTAGCTTAAAACTGTTGAATAAAATTGAAACAGAACATATATTTATTGACACCCCGGATATTAAAATATCCTGATCTGCTGCTGAAGTGATAAAAACATAGCATCTTTTAGCTTGATCATATTACCTTTTTATGATACCAATATTCTTAAACTTAATTATTCATCATCGTTAGCGCTCTCGAAATCTAAAGAAAGAACGCAGTTTCGCATTTCAGATAACTTATAAATATTCATCAAGTTTAAATTTGTATAGTTCTGGAAGCAAAGTTAACAACATCTTCAAAAACAAAAGTTTATCAAAATTATTATATTCGGTTTCTATTCATACCTATTGATTTGAAAATGATAACTTTTGATGTATTGCTTAACGGGGTATAAAATAGAGCCACTTTAGATTCAACAAATCCTTCTTCTTCTCAAGAACTTTTCAAGGAACCAGCGATTTAATGGAAATCTTTAAGTTTGGCATTTAAAAATAAAATCGGTAGTACCTGATCAACTGAAAATGAACTATCTCCGGCAGCGTTTCTCTCTTGATTAGCAGCGGATTTTTCTGTTTTACATGCGGTATGATAATCAGTTCTCGCTTTGTCGACTTTCTGAAGAAGTTTTGCCCATGGTTTCTGTGCCTTCTTGAATGCGTCCTCCATGTCCTTCTTTTCCTTTATTTGCATCATCGACTGTAAAAAATGCAGCATGTAAAGTAACGAAATAGATTGAATATGTATAGAAATGCTTGCAAATTAGGATAGGAAAGTAAACCCGACGCATAGCATCACATACTACCTCTTGGCACGTGTTTTCAATGCACATACATTTACATAATTCCGTATCAAAATGACTTTTACTTTTGTATGAGCTATTGAGACACCATTGTGTACATAACAATTAACACGAGAATCGTTCGGTTGAATAGCATGTAAAGTACAAATACAATAGTACCTACTTATCGAACTTATACTGCTCCGTATTTCAGGCAATTTATTACCTTATGATATGTGTCCTTTTGCCATTGTTTAATTTTCTGAATTACATCGTTTGCAAGACAATCTCGTACTTTAGAATGCAAATCACACCTTCTATCCGCTTCTACTAAAACGCCCTTCCAAGCTGCTTCAGTCGTGCCGTACTCTGGTCCTTTTTCTATTATGTCGTTCCATTTCTTTGACCTGTGAATATGAATAGTTATTGTACTATAGAATTATTATATAGTTATACTATATTTTATCAATAAAGTTCAAAGAACCAATCTCCTGGTTGCCTGTGAAAAGAAGCCACTTGTTTAAATATCGAAAATTAAATATAAGTACTATAAAACGTATAAAAAAAACACCGGGTAAGGTGATTTTGGTTTATTTTCTTATAAGAATAAGTATAAGACATGCTAATATTTCACATCATTTAACACTTCATAATATTAATACATCATTCGAATAAATGCATTCTGTATGGAAGAAGATTTAGATTATAATATAGGATATATATTTCTATAGAATATAGACAGCGTTAAAGTCAAGCATGTTCCCTTTACGCAAATTTGTGATTATCAGATAAACATAAGTTTCAAAAGTAGTTTCGAAGTTTTGAACGCTCATCAAATACGAGATTTCAACTGATTTTATGAAGGAATATATATTTTTTATATCGCAAGTAATTACATGTAATATACATGTCAACCCAGAGAAACTAAAAAGCAAAATATTTGCGCGATCTCAAGAAAATATAGTAAATAGTAAATTTGAATGTGAAAGACCAAAAAAGTATTAATTTACTAAAAAAACAATGCTCTAAGCCTGCTGCCCTAACAGGCGCACGCCTAATAGAGCATATAAAGCGGTTTCTAGGAATTACAGAAAACGCTGAATATTTCACACCTTTTCACAACCTGTCCGTTTGAAAATGAGGAGTTTTGCGACCATGTTTGTTTATTTGAATTTTCATAAAAAAATATGTTTTCAAAGAAAACATCATCATTTTCTCAAAATTTCTAACCGAAAAGTGAGAGTGACGTAATTTTTCTACTTAGTTTCAAATTAAGTAGAGTTAGTATGGTTTTCTATCGACTGAATTATAGGATGTAGCAAAAACTTCACTATCGCAGAATTTTGAGATCAATCAATGCATTTTATATGTAATTGCAAATTTATCTAATTTTCTCCATAATCAACTAGGTGTGTCCAAGTGATGTTAACTGATCAACAAAATAAACGTTACACCGACAAATTTGCCCTAACTTTGAAAATAGATAACTTCTGACTGTTGCGAGCGATTTGATTTCTGTTTGAGGTGTTGCCTCATCAGTCCGTGTTTTTGCAAAATAGTGCTTTGATAGTTTCTACAGAGTGGCAAATGACAGAATGCAAAATGTCTAAGAGTTTGGCATGCTTCCAATTGAGGAACAAACGTTTTTTAGGCTTCAACAACCAACGCATTTCAACCTCAAAACATTTTTAAATTTTTTGCCCTTTTTATATTTATGATTATGTCAAAAATCAACCTTTTAGTATTGCAGTAATAACATTTTTCATCCTGGACTACTTTTCGAAATCTAGGGCTCATGTTGAAACAAACACTTCCACAAAGCCAAATCTGAATAGGCATTGTACTAAAAATCACAGTAATTGAACTGGCTTGCTGTAAGTACTCTGTCACCAGTCGCAAAAGTTTTGCCAAATAAACTGAGATTTGTTTGCTAAGATATCCATATGCCGTCATGTTTGGTACTCTCTTGTTTCAGAATTGCTAAATCATATTCACCATTATGCTTAGAAATTAACTTAATAATAAAAAAACCAACTATATATCGCCGCAATGGTTCAGTTGAATAAGAAAATAGCGAGGATGTTTTCTGTTCAGGTGAACAAGGGGCTTACTCTATTTCAAGAATATGCACTTGCAATTTGCTACCTGCACCGGTCAATCTTAACTGATGCAAGTATAAAACATCCTAAAGCGTTCAGAATTAACGGAATGTTTGAAAGTAAACTTAACTTTTATTCAGTCAGCCATAATACCAAATTTCGGGGGCAATTCGGTTCCGATTGGGTCACTTTTAATGCAACCCTGTGAATTGAATTTTTGTCTAGAGAGTCTAGTATTATACTTACATCTTCTTGCATGACGTTTTAGCCTTAACATCAGCTGTAGATTTTGAAAATCGGCACAAGAGGAAAAATGTAAAAAATGACCAAAAAGTTGATTTTTTTTACATCACTCTGTTAATAGTGTTAATAAAAAAGACAGTCAAAATTCACAAATCTTTTGTGAGATAGGATAGATTTTTGAGGTCTGTCTAATGCCTTTGATGTTAAAATAATTAAAAAAATTTGCTCAATTGGGAGCATGCGAAACTTGCCACCCTGTAGAAACTTTATCTAAAGCGCATTTTTTTTGCAAAATTATGAACCTATAGAAAAAGAATTGGACTACACAACACCTCAAACAGAAATCAAATGACTCGCATGGTTAAGGCAGATTCGTGTTTTCAAAACTTTTGTAACGCTTTAAAAAAAAAACTTTAAACGTGCGATTTTTGTCACATCTTCTTTTACTACGGACTGTTACAGTTTGTGCTCTTATTTTTCAACATTTTATTAATTATATAATTCACATATTATTCCGACATAAGAGTACTCTTTATCAATCGGTAATAACATACGAAAGAAAATTATATCTTAATTCGGAACAAAAATTGTTGCGGCAAAACACAAAAGGTTGTGAAACTATACAACCTGACCTAGGGATGGGAGAAAAACATCGATGTAATTCGTTCGATGTTAGATCCTGAAATGAAAACATCGGACATTTGATGTTGATACTATATAGAAAAATGTCTGCGAACTTTTTGATAGTGCCAATACAAACGATACCGCGGCATAGCGGCCAATTCCCAGTTGCACCCGAAAAAAAGCCTCTTTTTGCAGTCAGTTGGCCGAAAAATGTGGCAACTATAAGTTGAATAAATTTAGTTGATTATTTGATGTCATAGTAGTAGTAAAATAAAATAATTTAAGTTTAAGTTAATCAATTTAAAATTTGTATGCAACGGCAAACTATGAGAACATCGTTGTTCTGCCTTCGATGTTTCCCTAACATCGATATTACTTTTCGATGGCTACCATCGATGTTATAGGATCGATGTCCCACCCTAACCTGACCTAACAAATCAAAATCAAATATACTGACGACGATCAAGCAATTAAGTTATTAAGTAATTAAATAACTTCGTCTCGGATGTCAAACGTCGTCGCCGTTCGAAAAACGACAATTTTCGCTCTTGTACCGAAAACTACTATTTCAGTTGCTACTATTAATTGAATCAAAACATTCAATACCAAACGTTGCACATGAATAAGCCGATTATTGCAAACAAAATTTAATTATTGTGGCACCAATAACCTTCTTTTTTTTTCGCATTATCAGTTAGAAAATATTCTATTACTACTGTTATTATAATTACACCTTAGAAGGAAATAATAGAATACTTTTATATCAAATGATATTTTGCCAAAAATTGTCTTAGTTTTTTGCAAGTGGCTCTAAAAGCTGGATATAATAATAATTTTTTGTTACAAATGGGAATAAATATCTACCAAACAAACTTGATATACAGAATATGTTGGTTTAGAAACATCTTACTGTATTTTATCCGACATTTCGCTTGATTTTGTAGCTTATAGCTTCAAAAGGGCAAACATATTTAAGACTAATATTTCTTACTCCACTTTTGAAGTTAGATAACTTCAGGAGTATGGAACAATTAGTACATACTTATCTTTCATCCTCTTAAAATTCTTAGGATTTGCTTGGAAACACCCTTTATAAAGAGATATGAGTAATGAAAGAATTAAAAGTTTCAGTTCAGTAGCTAAATTGATATTAGTTTTAGCTAGTTGGGCCTTACCGAAATACGATTGATTCTTTTTGAAATCGCTATTTCTACGCGGAGAAATTCTAAATAAATACTAAATCAACACAAGAAAATTGATATTTTTTTGTTGCTTTATATTACAATGAAAGAAAACTTTTACACTTAATAAAACCTTAAAGAAATACAATTTCATAATCAAACATAATATTTTCAACTACATTAATTTTAATCCTTTTCATTGAAAAAATTCGCTTTGGGCGTTTAAGTGTATGCAATGCAATGCAAATCAGTATGTACTAGACATATGAAGGTTTTTTATGAGCCAGCTACGAAAAACATGTGCTTACATGCTTACTGAAACATTGCAATAAAAACGGGAAAAATAGTTTGAGTCCACCAAAACTTTCTATACAAACGACACCAGTTATTCAATTAAAATTAATTCGTGCACTATTTCTTCTCAAACTTACAAAGTTCTTCATATTAGCATGTAATAAAATGAGAAATTTCTTGCAATCAACAAATACGATGGATTATATAAAAATACCACATCAACTTGGACTTAGGAACCATATAAAATTCTCAAAAGAGCAAAAATTGCTTTCTCTAGAGAATCATCAGAAAACGGCAAATACGTTGATGATTACATAGAAGGATTTCTAATTAAATACCATTCTGTGTAGGATCAATTTTGGCCTCCCCTTTCGCATTGGCATTTTTAATATATCTCTTAAACACCAGAATACGAATATGTTTAGGGTAAAATTAAATAAGTTTATTGAAAATGAAATTATTGGAATCACATTAAGACAAACGAAAAGAATGTATGTACATATTATTTTACATTTAAGTAAAATATTTAAATTATTAATAGTATATACCAAATAAATTCCTTTTTCTTATTTATATGTCCATATTCGGGTGTTTATAGCACTGCAATAAATTATTGAGACATTCTTCTCGAGACTCTGCCAATCTCTCATGAGCGTTTGATAGAGAAACAAGTAGGAACACATTTTTGGTGTTTGTATGAGATCTTGCAATTTGTGCTTTCATCTCTATACAGGGTGGTTTTTTTTCCTGAAACGCTTAAATATTTCGGAAACTAGTGATCCGAAGAAAAAACGTTTCAAATAAGAAGTTAATCTCTGGGAGGGGGAAGTTTATTAGTGTCATAAAAACAACGCCCACTTCGACCATGTAGACTAGGTAGGGACCAACTTGAGAATTTAAAATGGTAACCACAACATTTTATTGGAGATTCGAATAGTACGTCAAAAACTGAGAATTATCTATCCA